CCTGTGTGTTTGGGGGTGTCTGTGTGTGTGTGTGTGTGTGTGCGTGTGCCAGGCTATCTGTGTAGCCCTGTGTGTTTGGGGGTGTCTGTGTGTGTGTGTGTGTGTGTGTGTGTGCGTGCGTGTGCCAGGCTATCTGTGTAGCTCTGTGTGTTTGGGGGTGTCTGTGTGTGTGTGTGTGTGTGTGTGTGTGTGCGTGTGCCAGGCTATCTGTGTAGCCCTGTGTGTTTGGGGGTGTCTCTGTGTGTGTGTGTGTTGTACGTGCGGGTCTATATAACTCATAACTTTGTGTGCTTGTGTGTTTGTGTCAGTGTCCCTGAATTTGTGACCCAGGGCAGTGTGCCACGCTCCCACTTGTGCATGTGACTGTGTACTGACCCCCCCGCCACCCCCCAGCTGGCTGACATGTTGACACCTGCCTTGGGGACTCAGTCATTGCTGCCAAATCACTATTTCCCAGCAAAATATCTGATGTTACTGTTCTGCTGAGTACTTCATAGGGCTGGAGGCTTGTTCTGGTTTCAGTTCTACAGTGAATGGGGTGGATACCCCCTCCAGGTTATCCGGAAGCTTTCCATGTTAAATCACGGTGATTTATTTATGATGTATTTTTTTTTAGTTTTGTTCACTAAAATAGGCCTCATCGGTTTGTGTTGTGCTCTCTTTCTGTGCTGGGGCCTGTTTGTTCAGCTGAGATTTCATGGGATCGGTATCCAGAACCGGCCTCAGTGGTGCTTACTCGCCCAGAACTCCCCCCCCCCCTCCCTGCAGTCACGAGCGCTGAGGCTGGGCCTCACTGCAGCACGTCTCCGACGGTGATTTTTCAGAAGCGCAGAAGCGTGGTTTTGTTTGCGGCTGCCTGGCAGAAACATGGGCAAGTTCAGAGAGCAGGCAGAGGCCAAGCGCTGCCCGTCACCTGCTGTGTAAGAGGACTTCTCCACCTCTGATTGCTTTTGGTGCACATTCATGTGTCCTAAAACCCATGAGAGATGTGGTTTGTTTCTGACTTTTTGGCCTCAATAAGGTTTCTGTCATCCCCGTCACCGGTACCTACCTCACAGTATCTGATTGAGTTGGTAGTTCCGCTAAGATGGCATCACCATTGATGTCCAGTTGATTATTTCTTTGGTTTCCATGGGAGGGTGTTCTGGGCCTTAAGCTGACAAGCAGAATATTAGGCTATAAAATGGGGGCTGGGGGGATCCCGGTAACTGATGATGACTGCAATTTGGTGACGTTTCCTCAGAGCCAGTCAACTTCTTTCATGTAACATTGTGAGACAATGGCCTGGGTGATTTGCTTGCATCCAGGTGTCTTTGAGTCATCTGAGAGTTCCTCGCAGCTGTGCGGATGAGGGTTCGAATTTGTTTCCCCCCGTGGCCAAAAGTAGTGTTATTCAAGTGGACTGGTGCCTCTTCACTTTCTGTGTGGGGGAGGTTGGTATCCTACCAAAGTCTCTGTCCTATTAGTCCTAGGGTACATTCTGGGTCAGTGTGACCTTGACAGGATGAGATGGATGGTGACATTCCTAGTGGTGACACTCCAAACCATCAGTAGCTTGTAGTAGAGCAGTGTTTCTCAACCCGGTCCATGGGGACCCTCAGACCGTCCACATTTCTGCTCCCTGCCAGACAGCCCACATTTTTGCTCCCTTCCAGACAGCCCACATTTTTGCTCCCTTCCAGACAGCCCACATTTTTGCTCCCTTCCAGACAGCCCACATTTTTGCTCATTACAAGCTCCCTACCAGGAGATGTTAGATGTAGGAACATTGCTGGTGGGATAAATTGCCATTCATTTTATTCATTTACGTTCTATCCACAGTGACTTAAATGAGAGGAAAGGGGTACAATGTATGTGTGTTCCCTGGGATTTGAACATATGATCTTGACATTGTTAACACAACACGGTCAGTTTGGGTATTGATGCTGGGTGATCAGGTCCCGTTTGTCTCCCGGACATTTTAACCTTGACCAAGACAGCTGTAGCAGGACAGGAATGTGGCGAGCTGACTTGTTGGAAATTTGTCGTTATATGAAGGTGCCAAATAAAGGCACTAACCTCTTCTGTATAACCACCGATTGTACTGCTACTATTAACTGCAGGACATTGCGTGACTGGGTGCTCGATTATACACCTGAGTCAGTAATAGGTGTGTGTTAATTAGGCACTTCCTGTAATAAATACTTTTGCCTATATAGTGTATGATGTAATATAACTATGTGTACCGTAATGGTGTACTGTAAAGCCATATATATTATCCTCCCTATTTAGATAAAAAAAAAGCCCAGTTAAATGACTAATGAAATGGTATTCATTATACAATGAAGTAATGCAATAAATGATTAAAGAGGAAGACATTTGACCAGATCTCAGGGATCCGCATTGTCTGATTGGGAGTGACAGGTCAGCATTAGCTCCTTGCGACAATCTTACTGCCGACGGCCGCTGTCAGCAGGGCTGCACTTTTACCAAACATGATCTCTCCTGGGTTTTGAACAAAACATGTCCTTTTTTGCTTTTGAACCTACATTACCAAATTTTTTTCTTCCATTTGTTACCGTGCACTTCATTGTTTATTAGCATTGAATGCTTTTCTTCTAGATATAATCAATTGTCAGATGACTGAGATTTTTATGTTCCCAAGATTAAAAATAATAAATGAATCCAGACTACTGTGAATGACAGTGATTTGCAATTGTGTAAGACAGCTTTAAAACTCTAATCTGCCCGTTTTGAAATAAATAAGGACCCAAAATAAGTGCAAATAGGTGAAGCCAAAAGCATGATTTGGGCCGCGGATTTGCATTTGTGCTGCTTCAGCATGGTATATTTAATATTTCATGAGTAAGATTTTCCAGAACCTTTCAAACTGTAAAGCATATATTATTATTGTTTTTTTAATGAGCACCTTTTCCATGCAAACTGGGCTTTTTACGGCTGTCAAATACAATCCATTCAGGCGGTTTAAGAGTGTGATTTTGGTGAGATTCAAATAAATACTGACTTATATTTTAGATATTAATCCTTCACGACAGGAAAGATTGCAGGTGTAACCATGGAGTAGGAGCTGCTCTCTGGTTACTCCCGTCTCTTTGTCACTGACCGTCATTTTATATTACAACACGGATATTTTCCTGCAAAGTCTGAAATCTGCGCAGTTAGGAGCTCGCTACCATTATCTTCCATTTGACTGCAAAATACTGAGAGGGCTGAGTAATATTGTACGTGAATAATATAGATAATGAATAATATTAAATATGAAATCATTTAAAATATTTCAGATGATTAGCTTTGTCACAAGGCAGGTGGTGCCTAAGCACAGGCTGTACGTGAAACATGACAACATAGAACATTTATGTTTTACGTTACATTTAACGTATTTATTTAACAGCCAAAGCAACGTACAAACAATATCCCCCCCCCAGCTATGATCCAGTTTAGATATTTCTATGCATTATCTGTAACATTATCATTTACAGTACATTAAAAACAGTGATGAAGAGCTAATCAAACCAAAAATCACCACAAGGACATGAGGAAGGGTAAAATACGAGAGCATCCAGTGTTTTTTTGGAGGGACAAAAGGATGAAATCAGAGAAGGTCAGTGGCCAGATGAGCTAGTTCAGGTGTTTCATGAAGTTTGAAAGAATCTCTGCTGACTGCATGTAGGTAGCTTGATCTGGCATCGAGGATCTACACACGAGAAACAACTTAAGATCACATGGTGTCGTCATTCAGCGTTGGCTACTCAGCTGAGGTAGGTGCCATTTCATTAACAGCTCTGAGAGCCAGAGCCAAGGACTTGAACTGGATATGAGTGCCTTTTGGGAGCCAATTAGGAGAGAGAAGTATGGGTGTAATGTCAGGGTAATTAGGCTGATTAAATACCAAAAGTGCTGCTGCATTTTGAATGATCTGCAGCAGTGAGTATAAGCTTATAGCCCTGCCAGTGAAGAGTTGCATTAATCTAGTCATGAGACCAGGAGCTTAGTCACTTCTGAGTAAGTTCCAATCTTCCTAAGGTTAATAATGTCCCAAGCTGTACAGCGATGTTGTGGTAAATGGAGGGACTGGTAGGGAGGACTGGAAGATCTATCTTTAAAAGGTTCAACTGGAGGTGACAATCTCTCATACATGGTGTAATGTCAGAGAGGAACACAGAAATCTGAGCGCAGTTAGAAATATCTGAGTTAGATACGGACTGTATCGCAGTGCTAGGAAAAGCTGTATTAGTGATGGTCTGACCTAGAGAAGCAGCGTACAGAGGAAGAGGAGAGGACCAAGGCCTGAACCTTGGAGTATACCAGTATTTACCTGTTGCAACCTAGACACCTCATGGCATTTAGAGTGATCTATCTGATAGGAAATTACCTAATCGTCTTAGAGCCAAAACCATGTCAGAGAACAAGGTGGGGGGGGTAGTTTGTGTTGAAGGCTGCAGTTGGGTCTAGCACAATGGGAGCAGATGACCAAGATGTAGCAGATCACTGGTTGTTCACAACAGTCAGAAGGGCCGTCTCAGTGGAATGTCCGGCTCTGTCTGGGAGGTTATTCTGTGTGAGAAATTCAGGAACTTGTTTGAGGACATCACACCTGGGACTTTTAACCTGAAACAAGAAGGGAGAGACTGGTCTTTAATTATCGACTTTTGATGGGGCAAGTGGATACTAATGTTCCCTCTGAATCTCAATTTATTTGGAATCAGTTGTACAAACGAAAAATATGCAGCACAAACCACTCAAAGTACATTACTGCTGTGCGAGATCTGTCCTAAAACGGCATATTAATGTAGGAATATGTTAAGCAGCCTGAAAAAGAGTCGATTTCAGCGGATGCCTGATAGACCTTTTATTAAACTCCCCAAAACTGTAATTGCAGGCTGTGAGAAAGCTGGTGGGGCATTCAGTCAGCATGTTGAATTAATTTTCCTGTCGCATTGTAACCGATGCTGATTCAGTCTGGTCTACATTTATGACATTTTATTTCATCCAGCCCTGAGATGGTGGTTGATGGTCGTCATCTACCTGCATGTGTGGTTTTGTCCAGCAGGTGGCACTAGTTAAGACACTGGCCTTGTGGAATGGACGGGGTCCTAATGTTATATTCCTCATCAAAGTACTAGACCTGAATTTTGCAGCAAAACATCCAGCTCTTCAAATGGGTATAAATGAGAATTTAGATTCTGATTAATGTGGTGGGTTTTTCTTTGCTCTTTCACATCAGAGGTGGCGGCTATCAGAAAAAGAAAACGACCAATTGGGAACAAGGAGGCGGAGAAACAGTAGGCATTACAGCCCGAAAGCCAGTAAGATTAGACAAAAACTTGCTAATCCCATTGGCCTGTGGTTCACACCGGTGATGCTGTGTCCGACTGACAACAGTGTGCAGTGCATTATGGGAAGATGTTAATGCCGCAACTCAGTTAAATTGTGGCTTGTTTTTATACCTCTTATTCATATTCCCACGTACCAAAACTGAGGCTTGACCTGATGTCTGAAAAAGTCCTTGAAAGTCTGTTGCACTCCATCCATGTACAGAGGAAGAACATGGCTTTAATGAGGAGTTTTGCGTGATTAAATATGGCTGCAATTTGGGTCGGCTGAGGAGTAGCCCTCTGATATATGGCAGGGTAGCACAGAATAGATGTCCTGTTTAATAAGAGCGATATGCGGAAATGTGTTTCACCGCCAGCTCATTTTCTCTCAAGACACAAACAGCCCTAAAAAAGCGCTTATTAGCATCTTGATAAGGAGTGCAGAGTATGAAAATGTAAATCAGCAAAAGTGTTCGGGCTGAGTTGTGTGTCTGTGTTTCGGCTCCTCTCCCATTAAGCAGAATTTCTTACAGCAACAGTAAATGAAACTTTCCGTTCTTACAGAGTGAGATCTGTGGAGGGAGGGAGATGTCAGATATCGCGGAAGCTGACCTCAGCAGTGCGATTGATACCTGAAAGGGCTGCTTATTGCAGTTTGAGTAATTGGTGGATGTATAATTTCAGATGGGGGTGAGGTGTTTTTTGTCAACGTGTTCAGTATCTTTTCCCACTGAGCTGGAACAGTTGTTAATTTAATTTAATTTAAAATCACTTATATTCTGGATTTGGGGAGAGAAAGTGGCTTGGAGTGATGGCACAGTAACTGCTGGGTTAGGAGTTTGAATGCCAGGTCAGCTCTGTGTGTGTGTGTGTGTGTGTGTGTGTGTGTGGCTGCTTTATGTTTATTTTACATTATGGGGATCAGATGTCCCCCACAATGTAATAAAAGCCTGTTATTTTGACATTATGGGGACCATTTTTCAGGTCCCCACAAAGATCTGTGAATGCAATCAAAAAACTAAAAATGCCAAAAGTCTCGTATTTTGTTTGGTTACTTATGGTTAAGCTTAGGGCTGGGTGGAGTTATTAGAGTTTGTGTGTGTGTGTGTGTGTGTGTGTGTATTCTTCCTGTGTTAAATGGGTTTCCTGCTGGTTCCTTCCTACAATCCACAAACATGGGGTTCGGTGAGCTGGTGTCACTGCTCACTGTGAGCCATGTTCAGTGTCTGTCTGCTATCCCGCACCGAGCTTTTTACCTCGTATTTTCTATGACAGGCTATTAGCTCGGCGTTACAAGTAATTACGAAAGACGGGTGGTTGTGTGTGTGTGTGTGTGTGTGTGTGTGAGGGGGGGTGTTCAGTATATGTTTCAAGTGAATGACAAAAAATGAGAGAATCACCAGTTTCTGAAGGAGAGGAGTTATTCTCCCAGCGTGTGCAGACAGAGTAGCGTGTGAGGGGTGCTGCGGAGAATCTGAAGCTGTGACCTTTCAGAAAAGAGCCTTTGAGTGATGGTTAGGCCTGTAATGTCACCCTCCCCTCCTGCCCCCTGCACATGCAGCACGCGCTCCTGTTTAAAGACGCCAAGGGCTGTCCTGCTTTGTTGCCATGGCGACTGCCCTGGAGACAGGCAGAGGTTGACTCCTCCCGCGGCGTGTGCGCGGGCTGGTGCCAGCGAGCGGCCTGTCAACCCTGCCCCCCCCCTTCCTTCCCTCTTTCCTCCCCCCTCCCTTCTGCTACATTATCCCAATTAGTCCCACGGCTGATGGTCCTGGCTGGAAGACGGACCCCCATGCAGATCCAGCCTCCTCCTGGCTTACCTTGCACCGTTGACTGTGCCAAGCCGTCTGTTTGTAAACAGCGTCCACAAACTGCCCCCCCCCCCCAAAGTAAATTACGGTGTAGTGGTCCAGTGGTCCAGAGAAGGACAGGCGCTCCGCGTCATTCTCCTCTCCTGGGGGGCAGTAAATGTTGGCCGGAATTACCTGTGAAGGGGGCTCCTACACACAGCTTGTGATGGGCATCATGGTGATGCTCACATTCTGAAAATGAAAATCTTTTTCGGTTACTAGCTGTTCAGTTCAGTGGCTTTGTGGGATGAAGCTGAATGCTCCAAAGGTAGAGTCCTGGCTATTATCTGTGTGTGGTTAACCGGAATCGCATATTACTTGCAAGTTGTGACCTTGGGTGACCTTGAATGACCTCGTGTGACCTTTCGTGACCCTGTGTGACCTTGCGTGACCCCAGTGTGACCCCTTCCTGCTCTCTCCATGCCTTTCGCAGGTCTGGCGAGGGCCAAGTCGGTACCCAGCCACACCTATTCCAATGAAGTGGTGACGCTCTGGTACCGGCCCCCCGACGTACTGCTGGGCTCTACCGACTACTCCACCTGCCTGGACATGTGGTGAGCTAACACCCCCCACCCAGCAGCCACCCTGCTCATCCATCCACGAGCCTGTGCATCTGCCCATCTTTTCATCAGTTGATCGGCGTATCTGTTTGATATCTATCCATCTGTCCATCCTTCTAGCTGTTCACCATCCCATCCATCTGTTTCTTAGTCTGCAAAGTCATTCATCCATGCTACCTTGTTCCTTCGTCCTTCGATTCAACAGCACATCCATCCATCCATCTCTGTGTTTCACACCATTTATATCTTCAACCCTATCTTCATCTGTCTCTTTCTGTTTCCTCTATCCATCCATGATGCTTATTTTCCTGGAAGACTGGGAATGGGTCCCCCCAAAGAATCACTCTGCAAAATATCCTGGAATCAGTTCAAACTCATTATACATATTCAGTATATATCGGCAGTGTATGTACTCCTTTATATAAACACTGCTTTCGAACATGTGGCAAAATCATTAGCAAGAGAGTGACTCTGAGGCTGGAGGTTTCTGCATGTGAGCCGAGAACCTGGGCAAGCGTGAGCTTCCTCTATAGCCGGGCAAACATCAGGTACTGCTTTCAGGGAAATAAAGTGCTTTTCCAGAGCACTCGTTAGCGAGGACTTAATAAATGTTTAATGTAATGTTTGACAAGTGTTCTGTTTGAGTTAAGCAGTGGCCACAGGGGAGCCCAGCCTTTATTGTCTCTCAGTAAGAGAGACAGCAGCAGAGTCCCCTGCCGTAAAAGGCAAACGAGACCCTTCTGATACTCCTGGGAGAGCATCTAAGTGGGGAGGCCAGAGGCGGGCATTCCACACCCAACGATAAAGAATTCATTAGTATGTTTAAAAGGTCTGGCATTATCTGGGCTGATGAGCGACGGGGAGGTGGGAAGGTAAACGGGACGGCGTCGGGGGTCGTCCCGGGGTGTGGCCGCCATGAAGAGGGGATTTCGAAGAGGGGAGAAGATGCTGGAGGTGAATAGTAGTGATGGGAATTGAGTTCTTTTGGAAAACAGGAATCAAAAGTTTAGTGGGTTTTACATCAGGTGAGAAGTTTATGTGGTGGTCAACAGAAAATACACTACCAGTTACTACCAGTCACTACAAGTCACTACCAGTCACTACCAGTCAAAGGTTCTGGCACACACTGAGCTTTTCTACATTTGTATGTTACTCACTTAACATTTACTAAAAATACATTCAATATTCTTTGATATCAAAAAAATATACAGTATTTTCACCATTTGAGTACCTTTATTAAATGGTAAATGTATTGCATTTATATAGCGCATTTTTGCTACTCTTTCGAGCACTCAAAGCGCTTTACAGTTATGCCTCACATTCACCCATTCATACACACACACACACACACCGGTGGCGGAGGCGGCCATGCAAGGCGCCAACCAGCTCGCCGGGAGCAATTTGGGGTTCAGTGTCTCGCTCAAGGACACTTCAATGGGGTCAGGAGGACCCAGGGCTCAGTGGCAAGAAAATGTCACATCTTTGATTCATCAAAGTAACCTCCTCTAGCAGTTATAACAGCAGAGAAAATTCGAGGCATTCTTTCTGCAAGGGACATTACATACTGCTCTGTTTCATAGGATGAAACACCTAACTAGTGCATTTAAAGTTAAAGCACAGCCTAGAATGTGCCATCACCACACAACCAGTTACAATAGGATGTCAGACATGCACTGTTACATACTCTTTCCAAGTTATAACGGAAACTTGTTTTATTTGACTTATATTTTCATTTATAGTTGTTCGCTCAACTTTCCAATGCTTAACAAGAATAAAAAATCAGCAGTTTACATAATAACTGGAAAAGAGGTTAAAAGCCTGTGGTGTGCAAAGACTTTTAACTGGTATTGTACGTGTGAGACTGTGGGCAGACGTGTGACTTCCAGTAACAGCAGAGCTGAGTAGCCAGTGTTTGCGGTGAGGAGGATGCGGCAAGGTCCCGCCGCGATGGCGGATGGTGAACGAGGCGCGTCCCCGTCTGCTTGTGCGCAGACAGGGACCATGGGGCTGGGGGCCATTGAACAACCAAGGTGGGGCCAAGATAAATCAATATTCTGCTGACATTGCAAAGTGCACATTAAAGGAGGTGGTTCCTGAGGACCCCGCAGAAGCTTAGCTATCTACCTCATTGGTCTTCAGAGCGAATGTGATCTTTTTCTGCTTTAAATGTGTCTTTGTGTATATCGTTAGGCGGCCAGTATTGTCCACTGCCAGGCAACAGCCAAACAAACACTTGCGGCCCGGTCAGCGATATGGCTCCCGCGTTAACCGCCCGGGAGGTTCTGAGCCAGGGAACAATCTCGACAGGCATTTACCCCTCACTGAGGTGACAGCTGTGGAGTGCAAGGACTCCGGCCAAAGCCTGAGCTAATGTCCAAGCTGCGTTAGACCAGACTCACGGCCGGAGAACGCTTGTTAAATCATTAGCATTATTTACGTGCCTAGCGAGGGAGTTTATTTAAAGTTTATTGCTCGTGTATCTCACGACTGTACGTGTTTATTATGCAGAATCTCAGGTTACACTACTGACATCCATATGTTTTCCCCTCATATGCACGATACTTGACAGAGGGAAGAGCCAGGTGTGAGTTCCAGGTTCATCAGATCAGCAGCAGACAGCAAGGTGGTTCCAGGAAAAGGTCTGGTTGTTAGACCTTTTAGCCCCACACATGAACTTGGTGTCTGATGTAAGTGTCGCACCATGCCAGGCTCTGCTATGATCAAAGTCATCGGAAGAGCAAACTGACGTTGGCGGAATTGAGGACATTGAAGATTTTTGGATGAAATCACACCTTATTGCCAATCGATGTTTTTCACGCCGGCCAGAGGCGGGGCCAGATATATGCTGTGCCACAGACTCACCGGGCCAATGCCGGCAGCTGGGTGATAAATGAGCCCCGGCACCGGCGGAAATGCGACGTCTCGGGCCTCGCTGGGATTTTCCGCAGGATTTAGCATTAGCCACCAACTGTCAGGCCAAGTTCAACAAAGGAAGTTATTTTTCTCCTTTTAAAGAAGCGGCTTAATGGCCAGTCAGCTAACACAAAGGAGCTTTTATGGGACTATAGAAGGCCGTCGACGGAGGAAATCGCTTTCTCTGCGGCCATTCTGTGTCGCGTGGCCCTGGGGGAGCTCATGTGTCGTTATCGAGCACCAGTGACGCCCTCGACGGACTCCCCAGCTAATTGTGAGCGATGAGGGTCATTAGACGGAGGAACCCAAAGAGTCGCCGTTACTGCTGTAGACGCATTGTCCCGCACGGCTCGCACGCTGCTATTGGGGGGGGGGGGGTCACGCCACTTCCCGTGATGACACAGGGGTTGTCGCGTCGCTCTCTTCGTGTTTCTTGTTGTTCCCACCTGACGTTCTTGCTTTTCTAACTCTGTTACGACTGTGTACATCTTTAACAGCAGCTTGCTCCAATATTTGTGCCAATCTCCATTCCTGCTTTGGGAGGGCGCAGTGATTACCTGAAATTGCTTCAGTAAAATGATAATGATCAAGTGGAAGTGTAAATGGACTGGGCAGTGATTTATTCTGGATAAGGATCAGTGGCAGCTGGTGGCTAGAAAAATTGAGGAGGTAACAAGATAATGCATTTGAGTATTACTGTAGTGATCTTCCCCAAGAAAATATAAAATGGGTGTTTAAAGGACAATACATTTTTTCACAAGTTATTTTAAAGTTATTTCACAATTTAATTAAAAAAAATAGAGGAGGTACCACCCCAGTACGTCTGTAGATCAGCCGCCACTGATTAGGATGTCGTTAATCATAACGCAGAATGAACGTCCCACTTTCCTTCTTGTTAGGGGCGTGGGATGCATTTTCGTGGAAATGATGCAAGGCGTCGCTGCCTTTCCGGGGATGAAGGACATCCAGGATCAGCTCGAGAGAATATTTGTGGTAAGTTCCACAGCTTGCCCTGTTATCGAGTGAGGGTGGGGAACGTGTGTGTGTGACTCGTTCGTTTCTGCCCGATACGTAGATGCGCTCACACGTTTGCTATGTTGGTGCTGCCTGTGAGAACAGGTCTGGGGGGGGGCTGTGCATCGTATATAGCGTGGGTGTGCAGGGGGCGTGTGAATGGGGTCTTCCAGAACTTATGGTCTTTTCTAGGACCTCTCAGGCAGCGATACGTCCTGGAAACTCTGGAGAAATCACTGAATATATGGAGAAAACATTTACTGTTATTTAACTGCAACATTGACCATACAATTGAAACCATTTGTACATTTGGAGGTCTTTTGTGGTGAAATTTAGGTCAGTTATCAGTTATGTTTCATGGAAAGCCTGGTCATTTTGGGACAAACAAAAGTCATAAAATCAAATATTCATTGTAATCTTCAGCTATATGACACACGGACCAAACACTGAAATGAAATATTGATTCTGCCTGTCGTAGTGCAAAGGAAAAAGTAATTAGATTAGTATAAATATAGAAGGAATGGCATGGCGGTGCAGTGGTTAGCACTGTTGCCTCACACCTCTGGGACCTGGGTTCGATAAATATGCAAGACATTTAAACATGATATATTGAGATGTGGACATAAGACATACGACAGGAAAATCCAGTTAAAAAATCAGTGGAAAGTTGTAGGATGAAGCATCATGAAAAGGCTGAAAAAGTCACAGCAAACTTCAAACCAACAGAACAGGGAGATAAAACCAGTATGATGTCCTGGTAAAGAGAAGCAAACTGACACTTGCTGATATGCAATTCAGAAACGCCGCGGCCTAAAGCTCACGCATGTTCAGCAGCCTTCTTCCATACTTTGCTCTACTCCTCGTTCCTGAAACCGTTCCGCTGACCCCATAAAAATCCTAAGAAAGCATTTGGGCTAACCAGGGCCAGCTGAGTTTCATCATCTGGGTTATCTTTGGGGCTGGTGATTCCTCACCATGGTAACCAAACCCACCCCCACACCATTACTGCACCTCCCTGCGGCATGGCGGGTCCCTGGAGGGAAGCGGTCTTGGGTAACAGAGAGAAGCGGCAGGGACACAGAAATAAATCATATTGTAAATGGAGAAGATGCAGATATACAGGCTATTGCGTTTTCATTTTGCTCATCATCCAGAACTGACACGTTTGCACTCGTGCAGAGCTGACCCCAGGAAGGTTATGTACGTATTATTAAAGAAAGACATATTGGGATTGGCCTGTTTGTGTCAGGTGGGGATGCTCACAGCCAATCAGGTTGCTCCGTCCACACACTCAGCTGTCAGGTATCAAGCTGAGGTCAGCCTAGACAGGCACACTGGAGCGGAACCGACTGGCTGGCCTCCAATTGGCCGACAGTGGGCCGGCTCCGTGACTGACACTCTCATTCTGCATTCTGACACGGCGACAGCCAGAACGTCCTCGGAGACGGACAGTTTGGGGAGTTATATGTGGCCTAAGAAATTACCCAAAAAAATGTTACAGAAAATGTCTTGTGGAAATCCCATTTCCGTGATGCATTCTGAAGCACACGTGTCGCACATGTGTCGTTTGTAACCTTGGCACCCGCAGGGAAATTCTTGAAGGACCCTTTTTTCACCGGTCATACATCACTCTTATAATGCCATATTACTTCTGCCAGTGTATGAAGACATTTGTAATTCCCCCCTGTGCGTGTTGATTTTTACTGTGTAATCTGTCACATGCCGTGTGCGCTTGGTGAAGATTGGCCCAAGATCCATTTCAGTTTGTAAGGCAGGGTTCGAGGTGAGAGCCGGGACGATTCCTGCTTCAGGGCTCCAATGTGGTCCTTGATATGGTATATAAACAGGGCTGCTACTGGGAAGGGGGTTTTTGTGAGTCTGTGTGTGTTTGTGTGTGTGTGGGAGGGGGGGATTCTCCCACAAGGACAGTAAACTCTGAAAAACAGATGTTGTGGAAAAGTCCTCAGGAGGAGTTTTGCTAGTTTGGTGGGACGGACCATTAATCACATCAAAGTGACAGTCGGCTGGAAGATGGTAAGACAAATAGGTGTTTGTGTGTATATGTGTGTCTGTCAGATTTTTGCATATCTGATCTGGGCACAGAACAGAATTTTTCGTGAGATCCAAAGGACGGGGTGTATTTAGGGCAGACGGACAACACGGGGTACACACGATAATGACAGATCTGGGGATACAAGCTTTGACGTGGACTTAAATACACAAGACTAAGGGACAGAAATGCAGAACAGCTGAGAACAATCCGGAATTCACATGAGGTAACGAGGGGGGCGTGGCACTCGGGAGGATCATATTAGCAGGTCATGACAGTAATCACTGAATGTAGGTGTTTCATTACGACCCTTTGCCACCGTTGTACAAAATCAAGCACATACCCATGTGGTCAGGTTTACAAACATTTGTGAAAGGATGGGTCATTCTGAAGAGCTCAGTGAATTCAAGTGTGGTACTGTCATAGGGTTCCACCTTTGCAATAAGTCAGTGAATGAAAATTCTTCGCTGCTAGATATTCCATTGTCAATTCTAGGTGGTTTTACTGCAAAGTGGAAGCGTTTAGGAAGCACAGAAACTCAGCCATGAAATGGGAGACTGTACGAAGTAATAGAGCGTAATCGCTGAGTGTTAAAGCACATGGTGCATAAAAGTTCCAACACTTTGTTGACTCAATAATTGCAAACTTCCTCTGGCATTAAAGCCCAGCACAGAATCTGTGTGGCGCGAGCTTCATGGAATGGGCTTCCATGGCCGAGCAGCTGCATGCAAGCCTCACATCACCGCAGTGCAATGCCAAGCGCCGGATGGAGTGGTCAAAGCACACTGCCAATGGACGCTGGAGCAGTGGAATTTGTCCGTGGAGTTATGCACCATGCTTCTCTGTCTGGCAGTCTGATGGATTAGTCTGGGTTTGGCAGATGCCTTGAGAACATTACCTGCCTGACTGCATTGTGCCAATTGTAAAGTTTGGTGGAGGAGGGATAATGGTATGGGGTTGTTTTTCAGTGGTTTGGCTAGTCCTCTTAGTTCCAGTGAAGGGAACCCTTAATGCTTCAGCATGCGAGACATTTTGGACAATTCTATGCTTCTAGCTTTATGGGTTATAAAGACATAGTTAAGTGAGTTTGGTGTGGAAGATCTTGACTGGCCCAGCCAGAACCCTGACCACAATCCCATCAAACACCTTTGGGATGAACTAGAACGGAGATCGTGAGCCTTCACATCCAACATCGGTGCCTGACCTCACAAATGCTTTTCTGGATGAATGGGCAAAATTTCCCACAGACACACCCCATAAACTTCTGGAAAGTCTTCCCAAAGAGTGGCATCTGTTGTAACTGCAAAGGAGGGACCAACTCCGTATTGTTGGCCATGGATTTAGAAAGTTACTGTGGGTGTGATAGCCAAGTGTCCCAATACTTTTGTCCATATAGTGTATATACCCTTATTGGCCACTTTATTAGGTACATCTGGCTAAAACCAGGTTGGACCCACTTTTGCCTTCAAAATTGCCTGAATTCTTTGTGGCAGAGATTCAACAAAGTGCTTAAAACATTCCTCAGACACTTTGGTCCATTCTGACATGATAACATCAGATTTGTCAGCTGTACCTTCATGATGCAAATCTCTTGTTTCACCACATTCCATAGGTGGTCTATTGGATTGAGATCTGGTGACTGTGGAGTCTCTGGGTAAAGGGTAAGGTGGGGTAACGCCACGCAGGGGCATCTGGGTAAAGGGTAAGGTGGGGTAACGCCATGCAGGGGCATCTGGGTAAAGGGTAAGGTGGGGTAACACCAGGCAGGGGCATCTGGGTAAAGGGTAAGGCGGGGTAACCCCATGCAGGGGCATCTGGGCAAAGGGTAAGGCGGGGTAACGCCACGCAGGGGCATCTGGGTAAAGGGTAAGGTGGGGTAACACCAGGCAGGGGCATCTGGGTAAAGGGTAAGGCGGGGTAACGCCACGCAGGGGCATCTGGGTAAAGGGTAAGGTGGGGTAACACCATTTCAGCTCCCCCCTGGAAAATGGCAGCTGGGAATATAAATAAAGGTCCCTAAAAAATAATGTGGGCAATTACTGGAGCTGGCCGGGTATTTCTGTGGTGGGGGTGGTCTGGGGAGGGGGGGCATAATTGAGTTATTGAACACATTCCACATGCCTTCACAATGCGATTGAGGTATGAGATGTTAAATCTGTCTGTCCTCTGTGGGAATGGATGGTCCTCTTGGCTTCTTGACGTGACCTTATTTGACCCCCTCCACTGCATCCTGACAGGAATACGTCTGTGAGGTCATTTATCACCCCACCCATCATCCTCGCCTCTGCACCACCCCCTGCCCTCCACAAAGGAACAAGTGAACACCCCAGTGGTGTGTGTATATATATATACAACGCAGACATGGTTAAGAAGAATCTAATTTTCTACCTAGAGTGCCATTTTTTTCAGGAATCTGGCCATGAATGTACGAATGTGGGCGGCATGGGGTGACCTTTGACCCTGGGGAATTGCGGTGTCTCCTGGCTGAAACTCCAGCTGATGCCCCCCACCCCTAATTTGTGTTTTCAGTTCCTTCATGGTCGGTACGCTCTCAGCTTACCGCTTCGTTTCGTTAATGGCTTGGAGTAAGTCATGTGACCTGTGTCGAACCCTGTCATATTAAACAGCTGAGTAAAGATGAATCACCCACAAGCGTCGGAATAGAGGTGGTTTCGTCCGGCTCAGTTCCTCCACAGTCAGCTGGCGTTTAATAAATTCCCCGTAAGAATTTATCACCCGTGAAGGACTGTTATTGTCCCTAAATTCCAAATGCATGTAGCTGTTCCAGGTCCTAAACCGTAAGGCTGTGTGCGAGTCTTCAGCTGCGCAGTCATCGTTAAAGCATGCAGATGCACCCTGTCATTCTCCACTGCTTTACTGGGGCTGTTGATGGGCCTGGACCAATGTTTACTCGGTGCCACTGAAGTAAATTGTCTGCTAACAGGCAGGTGACCCAGAACCCCCCCCCCCCCCTGTGGAAGCTGTGCTTTTGGGAAACAGGCCACTGGTTTATTTGACCAGATTCCAGGCTACTTAAGTGTGACCGGTTAATTGGAGTCAGATGCCCTTTCCCCTGAACTCTCCTAGAGTTGTGCCCCCCCATGGGGGGCTGATGTCATTACGTTGTCCTCATTCCCCTATTGTCCCTGCTGTCTTCTCAGCTCGGTCACCTGCCATGTTGTCGGGACGGAAACCTATTGGCCACTGAAGGCCAATAACCGCCCTCTTGCTTCCCTGGGGTCCCCCCCACCGAATGTCTTGTGCTAATTATCATCCCCCCCCCACCCCAATTCAACGGGTCACGAAAAGCGATATGTTTGATGTGCTGGTGCCTCGGAGGCCCATGAATTCCTCCACATCTGAGGTTCCGTTACCCAGGATGCCTCAGCGCGGCTGAACGGGGCCATGCAGGCTTCGGACCACCCAGCTACACGAGGTCTGTTTACACGACCCCTTCAAGGTCATCTCTGTCACAAAATGGGCTTCAGCCTCCCTGGCTGGCTTTGCATTCCTCTGTCTCATCGGCCGCACTCTCCATCCCGACCTCATTTCCTGCCTTGCTTGAGCCTGGCCTTCATCACTTGGTCGTTGGGTCTCTGCTAAAACCCTGCAGCTGTTTCACTGCTAAGGTGATGTCCTGTTTCACATCTTTACTGCCCCCCCCCCCACAGAGCGTTTTCTTGCCCCAAGCCCACAAGCCCTGGTCATTGGAGAGTGAGTTTCTGATTGGGTACCACGTTGGGGTCCTCGAACTCCGTCTCTGCAAGTGTCCGCGCTCTTTTGCTTGTGCTCCATGGCCTCCCCAGGCCTAACCTCCCGGCTCCATTCCAAAATGCTTTTCATGGGGGAGGAAGCCGCCTGGCTTTTATTTTCGAAGAGCGGGCGGCTGTGCAGCTGCTCCTCAGCACGGCTGTCACTGGCATTTTTAAAACGAGCACCGTGTAATTAAACTGACTGCACTAAACACTATTAATCTGGCCGGTTCGGGCCCCTGCCAGCGGAGGCGAATGGGGCCTCGAAAAGGACATACCCCTGCCCCCACCCCTGAGAGAAGAACCGTGTAATTTAGCGCGCCGGCTGCACACTGCCCACACCGTCACGTTAGCATGCTAACCGCGTGTCGTTAGCGTAGCTACCCTGGGCCTTTTGTGTTAAGTGACGGTGGCTCAGTTGGTCAGTGTTTTCACGGAAGGTTCCGGGGAGCGTTCGGACCGTGCCCCCTGCGTTCCCGTCTTTCTCACTCCGCTCTGGGCAGAGCTGAGATTGCTGATTCGAGCTCGCGGTCTCGCTGGATGAGGTGCCGAATCTCTGACAGGACTGCCCTTTTACCAGAGGAATTACAGCTCGGGATGGGGGGGGGGGAGGCTTGAGGCCCCAGGTGTAATACCCACCTTTGAGTCATTGAAGAGACATACGAAATGCCCCCCTTCCCCCACCCTAATGTCCTCACTCTATGATGGATGGACCCGGCCTGGTTAGGAACAGCATTCCATCACCCCCCACAGTGGCGGGAATGGGGAGGGGGGTGGAACAATAGCATATGTACTGTAATTAAGAGAGTGAGAGACCCCCCCCCTACTTCCCCTGACCCCTCCCACCGAGAGGGTGCTGCCAGAGAGGGCTAATTTCACTTTCCTCCTCCGGGGCGGGAAGGGAACCGGGAGAGAGCAGGTGGGATAATCACCCTTTGTGTCAGGCTTCAGACGTCCACCCCCCCACCGACACACACACACATACACACACACACACACATACACACACAGAGCTACACACACACACACACACACACACACACAGCTGTACACACACACACAGAGCTACACACACACACACGGCAGTTTAACCACTTAAACAGCTCTGTGCTTCTGTGGATTTAACGGTAATTAGATGATTCAGTGAAACGCTCTATTTCTGTGTCACTTGTGGACATTATTATCATTATTATTATTATTATTATTATATTGAGAGTGGATAGTCTTGTCATCTTCCGCCTCTGGGTTTGGGCCTGTGCATTATCATTATAAATGCCTGTCTGACACATGCCTGGTATATTGACCGACACTCGCGTTGAATAATTCCTGACCAGCTTCGCCCGCCACACGTTCTTTGCTCTCATGCAAACGAGACACGCGTGTGATACCTGCCAGCCTGTCTTTCCCATGTCAAGTTCTCTCTCGCAACTTTGAAAGGGCGCATTTCCATGAATGTCAGTCAGAGCGGAGGTCTGCTTGCTTAGGGAGCAGCGCCATAACCGCAGTGCAAGAGGCATCTGGCTGTTTTACGAGGCTCTACTGCCCTCCGCTGGCAGCAGGGGGCTAAAACACAAAATCTGCAAAACCGTGTCTGTTCAGCAGATGTAGCCAAAGAGGCGTTGAGTAAATGTGGGATCTGTTCTGAGTGCAGTCATAGGGCTTGTAAGTATATGGTTATATAAAGGTTCATATCTGATGGCCAGTGCCACTGAAAGAGCTCTAGGCATTTAAAAAAGCATGTGTTTCTGTTTGACTATGGTATTGCCAGGTCCCTTATTAACTACAAGTTTATCTTCTCTGAATGGATCTGACTGTGATATTAAACTTCTGTTTTTCTCAGTTCTCTGGCCAATGGACTGTATATTTGAATGGCCTTTTTGCTGTTATTGCGCTAATCTGTGCAGCCTTACAGTGTCAGGCCACATGCAGTGGTGTGCCAGTGTGTGTCTGTGCATGTCGGTGTGCGTGGTGATGTCCCAGCTGCCCTAAGATGGCCTCACTGTCTTTTCCAGGTACTCGGCACCCCGACCGAGGAAACGTGGCCTGGCGTCCACTCCCTGCCTCACTTCAAACCCGGTGAGCCCCCGTTTCCCATGAAAAAAGGGCGGGTTTTTAGCTTACTGCTGGCTGTCTCCCGGATGTTCATCTCATTCTCCGTGTAGTTTCAGTGCTTCCGAGTTAACGGCTTAAAAGTTCTGTATTCTGGACTCTTCTACAATAAAACACAAGTACACAGGCCTTGTACAAAGGAACAGCAGTAATGCTGGCTATTAGCAGTGCACTGTACAGTGGTTATGCTCACATAGGTTATTAATTGGCAGATTTAAACCCCAGTCTGATTCCCCCATGTCATGGTTCTTTGCTGGTTCACAGGCAACACTGAAGTTCCTTAACCAGTACACCCCCTGCTGGCCACAGCTGTATTGCCACCTTCTTGTCCCCATTCTCTTCCCAAGCTGCTTCTATCAGTGTCTCATTATCGGCCGTCCTTTTGCCAAAAGCGGAGGCATGCCCTGCCCTCTGATCTTCTGGGCGGCCGAGATGGAGCATGTGCACCAATAATGAGTCATTAAAGGGTCACAAGTTAATTATAGTTCAGCGGCAGTTGGCGGTAATTAACCCGGAATGTTCATTTGTTCAGGTGAAAGTGGGGCAAGTGGGGAAAGAAGCCAGATCGGCAGATTCGTGTCTAAATCCAGTCAACTGCAAAGCGAAAGCAAGGAAGTCTGTGGTAGATAATGTCTCACAGGGTGGACGTGTTTGGGGGATCGAGAAAGGGGGGGGGTGCTTAGTGACAGTGACAAATGACATGTATGTGTAACCTTCATATATTCCCCGAGTATGGGTGTATTTATAGAATTAATCTCTTTTTTTTATATTTTTATATCTCTGGCAAAGTAAATTACTTAATTGTAAATTATATGGATAAAGTCTTCAACCACACAATGTATGTAAATGAGAACCACTTTGTAACACAGATGCACTTTAGCTTTTGAACAGCAGGGGACACTGTCACTATTTACTACTGCACTGAGGACTGTTACAGATACTGTGTCTGTTTTATTCCACTTCAAACACTGCATTCAGACAAATAAAAAGTAACAAATTCACAATAACTGGTTTACAGATGCCTACTTGTTTCCAAGTGCTTTGAAAAGCAATAAATATATGAAGATATATTAATATATATATATATATATATATATATATATATATATATATATATACTGTTTAGCAGGTTAATGTGTTTCTAAAATAAATTCTTGTAGATTTATATCTAGGAAATTATTGTGAATTTTATATATAGCAAATGGTCTTGTTTTTTGAAAAAAGTATATCTGCAAATGTTACAATTATGCATTAAATCATGTTGCATACACTAATAAATGCATCCACACTGTATACGGCATCCACCCTTTAGCTATCCCTTTGTGCAGGGTAACCTGAGTTATCAGATCGACGGTCAAGGTATCGCAGCGCTTGTGTTGAAGTAACCCTTTTTAAAATAATTGTTAGTTATTGTTGGTAATCTTTTATTGTGCCTAAATTATGGTTTAAACTTTACCATAGATATGTACGTATAGAAAATGCATAGTACATATAGTTTGTTACAATCTGTGGTTTTACACATCTGCCAGGTGCCTTGGAACATTTCCCCTGCAGGTAGTGGGGGACTGTAACGATATTTTATGTAACTGTGGTTCTAAGATTCAGAACCCAGAGGCCAACATATGATTTCATAATGGTTTAAGTCAAACCCTTCTTCCGGGATGCAGCCACATGTCACACATCATTGTCTTGTATGTCATGTTTAAAAGCTTTGATATGTCATCCATTACACTCATAACCTGTGTTAATTTGCAGTTAATCTTTTTTTTTCCCCCCAGACCGATTTTCCATGTACAGTCCGAAGAAACTTCGGCAAGCGTGGAACAAGTGAGTGTTGTTTTTTTTGTGTACTTTGTTTTGCTTCTCCACAATGAGATGGATAACAGCCTGTTTACTGGACTGCATCACTGGACTGTACCCGTGGTTCTCAGAAGCCAGGAAAATGTCATCCAATTCAAGCAGGCCAAGTGTTTCTGGTTTGTTCTCTTTATGCTTTGACAGGTACTGACAGGTAGAGGCAGGTCTGCCACAGCTAGTCTGGATCCTATTTCTTGGGCTTTATTGATATTTTTCCCACAATATGTTCCCCAAAAATGTGGCTTATATTTCTCTGGACCTTTCCGGTCACATCTTTGCTGTTGCCTGCTGGCCTTGATTGGCTGGGGCCGGAGTGTCACATTTTTGGGCTGTGAAGCAAGATCTAAGGTGTCCCAAGCCAGTCAGAAGTGTACGAGAGAATCAGTGAACTACTGTATGTGGCAGTATAGTGTTCCTAAATCTTTACATTAGGTGGTTGAATGGATGGATGGATGTGAACCCAATTATCAGAGGCCTAATTGGAGCCTGATCTTCTAAATCAAGTGCTAAGCTTCTATCAAACCTTAGCTTTTAAATTACCACCTGAACATCAATTTTTCTCCAAGGATATGACACTGTCAGATTCTCCAAACCTGCATAATGCCAAGTGCCTGTCATTCATTTGGCCCGTTGGATGCCGTATACAGAGACACATTGCTGCAGTGGGGCTCTTTCTGCTCACGTTTCCGTTCTGTTTCAGTGTTGCTATGGTTATTAAAGTTGCATTTCGTGGTGGTGTCTGTCGGTCGGCTGCCTCGTCTGCCAAAGCTAATCTGGTAAATTGATCTGCCGGGGGCCTATTGAATTTTTATTCTCCCCCTGCTCCTGATAGTCTTCCCACTGTTCCCAGTTTCCAGGATCCTGCACCTCTGGCTGGGACCTGGGGAAAGTATGAGACCAGGAGGTTGTTTTTTGGTGCCAGTTCTCGGGCTGCCCATCGCTCAGAGGCTGCGATGGGATCATGGTGGGATGTGTATCAGGTTTTCATGAGAGCAGTAACCCGCAGAACAGACAGAGACGTCGACAGCTGAGCCTCGCAGAACCGGGCTCCGGCTCCTCTGAAGTGCAAACATGTCTTTGGATTTTAGTGCCTGCCGTTTATGTTCGATTGATGGACTGTCAGTGTCGGTAAAGCAACTGGAAGGATTACTGGTGCAGTTCCTGTCACTCGTTCAGCCAGTACTCTGCTTTCTGAACTGGGGGGGGGGTTCGGTTACAGTCTTGTTAGGTCACGGGGCCAAGTGTATACAGTAGCAACCCTTTATAGAACTTTATGCCTCAAATGCTCTTTCACCATTTAGCCCCCCCGTACACACACACACACACACACACACACAGGACAGGAAGATAGACAGACAATCATGGTATTGATAGACCCCCTGAGTTGATGAAATACAAGCCTATTAAGTGATTTTGATGGATAATTCTCTGAAAAAGAGATCTGTCATGAAAACGTTCAGTAGTGCAGTATGTCCTTGTCTGCAGAGAACAGGCATGTGGCTTCTGGCATCGCAGCCAGCGTGCAGAACTGAAGGAACTGGGCTTAACGTGGAGAAGAGACGCACACACACAGGGACGTAGAGACAGATGCGCACAGCCGCACAGCCCAGATCTCAAACACGGTAGCCATGGTTAGCAGACGGCTGACTGAGGATCTGCCCGCAGTAATACATCCTCACCTCTGGGTGGCAACACTGAACCCCGGATGTGAGATGGGTAACAGTAAGAGAATAGGAGATTGGGGTTTTGGGGGGGGGTTCTGTTTTGCACTCTTTGACTGACCGTTTGGCATGTCATGAATCCATTTCGTGTGTCTCTGACCTGCCCTGGGCTGGTATCCCTGGCAACCGTCCAGTCGATGAGGAAATAAATATGTGAGGAGAGAACTGAGGAATGCTAACTGCCACAGCAGCATCCGTTCCTTTCATTGTACGCCAGCTTTTCCATGATGATGACATGCAGTAAATTTAGAGAAATCTCTCCTGCTGAAAGCCTTCTTCACCGTCCAGCTCCTGGACTCTTATTCCGTACATCTCGCGCACGTCCCACAGAGCAGGTCTTGCACACATTTATATTTGACTGAATTTGACTTGTGAAGGTGGTTTGTGACCCACTCATACTCATGATAATCCATTTTATTGCACAGTTATTAAACACCCTGGTTATTCCCACCGGTGATCCACTAATGTAATGTCATGGGAAGGACACAGAGCTGCCCCCCCCCCCCCCTCCAAGCCAGTCATCTCATTCTTTGCCACTGGATGAAGACGTTGGGATTTACAGGAAGATGATCCCGGAAAGTGAACGGGACTCATGTGACCACTAGGATTCACACAATTACAGGTTTAGAGAGCTCTTTACGTCAGGGTAATTTTCCGTTGGTCAGCAGGAATCAGTTTAATTTGATTACACCCTCTTTAACGTGAGCCGCAAATGTGCCGATTATGCTGTGGATGAAGCTTACGGCACACGGCCAGGGTGGTCGGGAGCCTCGTTTGTTTGCTTTTGTCTCTTGGTTCGCCTGTTTGTTTATGTGTGATGTCAGCGGTGGCCGGCATTCGGCAGCTCCGCTGGAAACCAGGCATTTTCAGCCTCGCGTCGTTTAACCCCCAGACTTACACTGACTCCATTCACTTTTGTGTTTTATCTCTGTGGTGGTGCTTCACTATGGGGCTCTGAAGGTTACTCCCCAGCCCTGGCCTGAGCACCGTGGCCTGAGCACCGGGGGCCAGCCTTAGGTCTAAACCCTGGAACACATCTGGCTGATTTTCGACCATCAGAAGCTGTCGGCTGTCGATGAGAGTCAGTGTGAGTCTGTGACCTGTCAGGCCGGAGTGTGTCACATGGTCAGACACCGTCTGTCCCCAGCTGTGCTGTTTTGGCTGATGGTTGAATCGGCGTCAAAGCAAATTGGTGAAACTAAGCTCTTTGATTGGGCTGCAATTCACCCGTAGCCTTTAGTTATGCTGCTGTGCTCCAGTGCCGATTTTCACAGTTAGTGGGATACGATCTTCCCCAGCCTTGGTCTGTGTTAATTTTTTGCTCTCGGCTTGGTATGTACCCGGCTTCAGAGGACCAGCAAAACACACAGCAGCAATTAAACAGGAATTTTAATTATAAATACAGAATGTCCTTTGAAAATGGTTCCAAAGTGTCTGGCGTACGAGTGATAGGACACATATTTCATGTTCTTGGGATACTGCTGATCCCAGAGAAGATGGATCCTGTCACGCCTGCCAGCTGGAGCAGCAGGGTCCGGATGAGCCCCAGTGCGCCCGATGGAGTGACCTGGACCGGTGTTGTGAACTCAACTTTCAGCTGTTGTACGGTTCTGTCCTCCAGGCTGGCCCAGGTAGACCACGCAGAGGAGCTGGCTTCCGGATTCCTCCAGTGCTTCCCAAAGAACCGCCTGTCAGCCCAGGTCGCCCTCGGCCATCCGTACTTCAGCGACCTGGCCGCCCAGCTCTGGGAGCTGCCCGACAGTCAGTATCACTGCCCCCCCCCCCTGCACACTTGCACACTCTCCCACACACACAGAGGGACACCCATCTGCATCTGCATTCACAAACAGAAAAAAATGCACACAAGCATGCAGAAACGTTTACACATGTGTAAACGAACAGTTTATCCAATCAGAAATCCAGCCCAGATTCGTGTCAGACGGGGGGGGGGGGGGGGGGGGGGGGCGGGGGCTTCGCTATACTGTGGTGTCTGCTTCAAACTGCAGGGGTCCTCCATTCCAGCTTCAGAGGTTCAGAGAAGCATTTTGTGCTTTAATCTGGTCTGTACTGTTTCATTATGGAACTAAGTCCAGATGTAGTTATTGCTGTTGTTATTTTTAAGAAACCCAGTTTACCAACAGAGCAGGATGCTCCAGCGTGACCCAACAGCAAAAGAGGTTTTCGAAAGTGAACTGGAGTCAAAACACAGATGGAAGTTTCTGTAACCTCACTGTTATTTGGTTAGTGGTCCAAAGTGTACCTTCAATTTACTGACCAGTTTGCATCTGGGACTCCAGCTTAAGTGAATTACTGCACATAAGAAGTCTTCAGTAGATTGTTTAAAGATCAATGATGGATCAAAGATCACTGAGGAAACCACTGAGAAACGGCGGAGAAAATAATTCAATTCAAATAATTCAGAGGACAGTTTATAACAAGCATCCACAACATGCAAGTGACACAGAAAGAATTGTGCGATCGCCATGGTTACAGTTCAATATGAAAATGGATTCAAAGACCACATTGGTGTCCATCCACACAAACACACACAAACATGTGGATGAGGAGACAGGGGATAGCAAGGAAAGAGGAGAAATGGAAGGAAAATGACTGAAGAGGTTAAATCTTGATGGGCTAGATCTACGGGCTTCTTCTGGCTACAGGTGCTGTGGAGTTTGCGTGGAACTCCATCACCTGCAGGATTTGATCTCATCTGGAGTTAATTGCTAATTGCTTGATAAATTACCCTGTTGCAGATTCTGCATCCTTTAATGTGATGTGGGTTCCGCAAAATGTTATGGGGAGAAAGTCTTACTAAAATCTTAATTCCTACTGTCAAGCAATGTCCAATGTCCAATGTCAATAGTCCATACTCATCAGCTGAGCCATGCTTGTCATTGATGAGAGTTTTCCTGATAGTCACGCCTCCTAGAGGTTGTTTGACAGACTGCGCTGATTCTCTGCTCTTCTTTGTTCTTGTCCTCCATGCACAGTGTCTTCTATCTTCACTGTAGCAAGCATCCGGCTGCAGCCGGAACAGGAGGATGTGAGTGGCGGACGGGGCAAAGCGACGTCCAATGGCAAGCACTGACACGCAGCACAGCATGCCAGGTACCACCCCCTTGCAGGGAAGCCCCACCCCTTTCTGCTTCACCATGACAATCCAGTGGACTCTATTTTTTTGTTAAAGTGAAGGGGGTGAGTCATGAGAAGGGTTGATGTTTACTTGTGAAAGTGTTTGGTCCATTACCAACGCCACCACTTACTTTACTCATATGTTTGTTTTATTATTACGCTGGTTAACCAGGGATGTGACACAGCACTGAAGGATCTGAAAGCATTTACTCTGGCTGTGGAATTAAAGCCAGCTTAGCTCAGCCACAGACACGTTCAGCGGGGTTTGCTTTTCCGGACTTTGAGCTCACTGCTCTACTGTCCATGGCGTCACAATCAACGTCTTTGGCTGTGTGGTGGCGATTTACAGCCTGAGTAAATCGACTGGGGAGTTGGATGGACAGAGTCCCACTTCTCAGGGATAGTGGGTAGCAGGCCAATGGTCAGGACCGCGAGGCCGAGATGATAACCTTCTCTTCCCTGGCCATTAGTCTGCTTTGGGCTCCTCTGAGTTATTTTCTGTGCAACATAGAGAAAATTCTGATGAATCAGAGCTTCTAACAATGTGATTTTATGGCTTTGGTCATAGAACAGCAGATCCTGCAAGCTGGAAAAGTCTTCAGCAGACCAATAACTAGCAGAGGTGGATTGTTTAGGTCCCGAAAGTTGAAATCCATACCGAGATTTAGTTTCAACCAACCAGATGAATACTTTATTTTTATTTAACCTTTATTTTTCCAGGCAAGCCACTAAGAACAATTTCTTATTTGTAATGACGTCAGAAAGAGGGGGGCAGTAGAGAGAAGGGGCTGGATAAAGAGAAGGAAGTGGATCAGAATGACAGAGCGTTTAAGGGAGGGGGACAGAGACATGAATGGGAGCAGAGAGGAACATCCATCCATTTTCCAACTTCTGGGTCGCAAGGGGTCCAGAGCCTATCCTGGAAGCTGAGGGCACGAGGCAGGAAACAACCCTGGACAGGGGGGTCAGCTCATCACAGGGCTCACACACACACACACACCATTCACTCATACATGTACACCTATGGGCAATTTAGGAACTCCAATTAGCCTCAGCATGTCTTTGGACTGTGGGGGGAAACTGGAGTACGTGGAGGAAACCCCATGATGACATGAGGAGAACATGTAAACTCCACACACATGGAACCCAGACGGAGACTCGAACCCGGGTCCCAGAGGTGTGAGGCAATAGTGCTAACCACTGCACTACCATGCCACCCTGGAAAAAACAGAATGACAAATTGAGTGAGCAATATAGAGCTGGATACAGAGAGAAAGAGGAGGGTGAAGACAAAAGGAGAGGAGGACAGAGAGAGAGAGAGAGAACGCAGGAATGGAGGCAGGGATGCTTATGAGACGTGTTAACACGGCTGGCCAAGAGGGGGCGTGGTAATACCACCGTTACAGTCTGTCAGAGGTTTGAACCCGAGCTCTCATGCCGTGGGACAGCCTGTGGCACGCCCAGGTCTCTGGGCTGTCATCGTCACCGGAGGCTCAGAGGAGAGACCCCACCTTCTGCGACCGCCGTGCGAGACATTTATTACTGTAACTGCGGATGGGGCCCACGTAAGCGGCGGGAAGCGGAGGGGAAAACGCACTTCACTGTATTTGTCTAGGGTGCAGTGAAAGGCTCCTTTTAGCAGAACGAAGTCAGGTTTGCAGGCCCACGTCATTTAAAATGCCGTATTTCTCTCTAAGAAAACAGAAGACACCCATGATTTTAAATTTTTGATATATAAAAAAACTGCTAATCATGGCCGTCTCCATGTAGGGAAACTGTGTTTTCACACTGATATTTCTCGGCACGTTATGAAAATATTATTTCACCAGTCTGGGCTCCACCAATAGGAAGAACAATAAGAAATTGTGTGAAACCCAGCAGCCAAATGGTAACGGCGGCGGTTACTGTTAAAAAAGAAAACGTACCTGTGGTGAGATCTGGAAAGCGACAGTCTGGAAAAACAAACGTCCACGTGTGAGGTCCTCTCGCGTTATATGTCTGTAATGGGCGGTCTGGGCGTCTGGGCGTATTCAGCCTGATTAGTGCTGCTTTTGTCCACCTGAGACTCAGACGTCAGAGTCTTAAGCTCCCTGCTCTCTGTGGTGTGGCTGAAATTTCCCTCATCATCTGCCCTCACTCATGCTATTCTCCTTCTATACTCGCCCCCTGTCCATCTGGGGGGGTGGCAGTGGACATGGATTCTAACATCACTGATTCAGTGCAACTGAGTAACTTGAGCTGTATGAGTTGTTTACCATTGAGACCACCTGACTGTGTAACATGACCAATCACATACACCGCTACATACAACCTGTCGTTTTCCACGCAAAGCCTTCTCTGACTCGCGAAGGCCTGCAAGCACTTCAGCCGCTTCCAGTCAGTGCGGACTCACCATCCGCACGTTTAAACGCACGGAAGTGCCTCGCCTAATGTGTAATTATTATACCAGTGCGTGTTGTGGCTAATTACCCCTTGAATGAAAATCAAAAAATGTGACAACATGGCCTTTATTTTGCCCAAGAATAATCCCCAGGTGACGGTCTTCTGCGGACTTCTGAACGAGACACATTTCTACAAGCTCGAGTCCTTCTCTCTTTATATTTATGAAGTCGAAAAGAATCAGTGGATGTTGATCACAACATGTGTTTTCACTGTGGATTTTTACATCGAAATGCCAGTCTCACAAATTCGAAAATTTTTGTGAAATGTTTTGGAATTGAGTGTGCCGTCGCCACCCAGAAGGAATTAAATAAATACTCTTATTAATAAGACTAATATTTATTTTGAAAACCCACAAATTTCTGGATACAGAGCTGTAAAAGCCTCTGTGTCGTTCATGTCTTTATTTATGGAAATTTATGATCTGTTTTCTTTTTTTTTTTTAAAGAATGGCTGCTTCTTTTTGTTCTGAAACTCAGTTGAGGGCCAGCCAAGGACTTTTTAAAAAATGGATTTTAGGTAGAAGGCTGTAGCCGCTGATCCCACCTAGAGTCCTCATGACACCTGATGATTTCTCGGAAGACAGAGGATGACCTCCGGTCTGCAAGCTGGAAGGAGAAGCACGAGAGCAACTCGTGCCAGCAAATATGTAGAAGAAGCCAAGCAATTGTACTGAGAATCTCACTGATTACACAACTTGCCACACTTCTGAATGTGGTCAAGCCTGTAAATATTGTACTTTCTAAAAAATATTCCATCCTTTTTGACTGTAACAATAGTATAGACAAATTATTATGCCTAAAGATTTTTTAGTGTGGAGTTTTAATATTCTTATACAATGCTCATAAACCTTTTTCCACGCACTCATACTGCCCATGATGTCTGTCCTCTGATTGGTCAGAACCTGGAGCATGCTGTCTGAATGCAGCCATTTGGTTGGCTGGACAATGGGCACCGCCCACACTTAGGAGAGAGTCCGTGAGGAACCAGAATGGTGTCTACAAATTGCGGGCCTCTTAGAATTTTCCAGAACAATAGAATGACAAACGTAAATCAGCCCAGTGTTTTAACCCAAAAGGCAAAAGAAAATAAAATGACTGTGACACAAAATGAAGGACACTTGCATTGAGTTTGTACCATGAAAGCCGGCCGTTTGTACCACTCATTCTTGACTTTTTTCCCTAAAGGAGTCAGTTTTACCATCTTAATCGAAAAGGATTATGGCTGTTCAGGAATTTTTTTGTTTCGTAGCCAAACCTCACCATTGGTGTGATGTGTGTTATGAACAGTATGGTGAATGTGTGTTATGAACAGTATGGTGAATGTGTGTTATGAACAGTACGGTAAATCTTGCTGCCTGCGTCATTGGAACGCATTTACTTTCTGCTGATGACCTTGTCATATAGCCCATGCAAACTGGGTCGTATGAATGTGTAATTATTTTCATCGTTATTTAGCATTTGTTTCCCTTTCTTACACATTAAATTACACCTTAGCATTTTGTATGCACCCATATTTAATGTCACAATGAGGGCCCTGTCATAGGCTGCAGCAGCTGATCCCTGTTGAGCCTGTAATGTTTCGGTCTTGGGTTCGGTTGATTTTCTTCCCTCTGTGGTTCCTGCTGTTTCACGTCCTGCGCAGTGATGACCTTCCCAGGTCCAAATTGCAGACCACAATTAAGGGTCGGGCTTGATAGACGGAAAGCAGTGGTGAGTCCGCCTTACTGTAGTCTGTAGTATCTCTGGGGCATTTCTTCTCCTCCTGCTGACGGAGGCCGTTTCTGCAGAGCTTCCATCCATCACCTGCCCAAGTGCTGGGGCTCGTTAATCAGAACCTGCCTCTTTATTTTTGTAAGTACTTCTGGGTTCTTAATAGGACCCCGCTGGGAGCCCTACAGTGGAAGTGCAGCAGGCCATGTGTGGCCTCACTGAGTGACCCCCCCACCCCCCACCCCCCACGGGCCCCTTTCACCTGGTCATGAGACCAAAACAGGAGTTATTTTTTTCCCTGGACTGTTTTTCTTCTGTCTTCACTGCTTTTCTCCCTCTTTCATTTCAATCCTCACCCTCTTTGTCTTTTTCCTCTTTAGCCTTTCTCTTCTTTTTTTCTCTCCATCTTCTTCCTTTCTGTCCCTTTCTCCCCGCCTGCCTTTTATCTTTATCTCTCTCGCTTTCTCTTGGTCACCGACATTTCAGGGGGGTGCCAATTGTTTCTTGTCAGCCTCAGCGTGGGGTGGCCGCTCCTGCTGCGGGGGGGCGGGGGGCAGCAGGACTCGGTGTAGGACAGGTACAGTGCCCCCAGCAGGCAGACAAAGAGCAAAGGGGCATGTTTACACTTCAGAAGTCTGTTTATGACTCACCTCTAATTTACCTCAGTCATTTGTTTTGTACTCGAGCAGATATCCACATCTGACTAATGATGTCAGAAATGCCGGTACACAGATTATTCCCACCTGGCGAGCATGTCTGCTTTTCCCCTCCTGGGAGGGAAAAACGCCTCTGTTATTCCGCTGTAAAGTTCCGTGGCGTTTTCAA